GACCCCTTCCTCCCTCCTCACCCACACTTCGATGTCGGGTTACCAATAACACGGTGGCGAGGCTTGATTTGTGCCTAAGGTAAGGGATCACTTCTAGTAGGGGTGCCCCTCTACCCTCAGGATGCCTCACTAAGAACCTAGCATCTTTTTCGACATAAATGGCGAGAATATTTCTCCTTATTTTTCTAAATTTGATAACGTGGAATGAGTAATTGTGGAATGTGAAAAATAAATGTTGATTTATGAAATTGGAATGAATTAGTTACGACAGTAGCGAGTGATAATGATAGTTTGATAACGTTAGAAACGGAATATGGGTAAAAGTACTCAGTAACCAAGCGGGTCTAGTGCTATATAAGTAAAACAAAACCATTCACAAATAACCCGCCCTTAGGAGAGGAAACTTGTGACGACGTTATGGATCGCAACACTGACATTATCACATCTGCCTGGAAAATGATAGCATGGATAATAACTTTCAAAACAAGAGATGCCATGTCATTGATGAACTTCTTTAAGTCATTTGTTCTCTCTGGACTGGAATGCTGCTGTACACTAACAGCCCCTTTCAAGGCAGGTGAAATTTCAGATCTGAGAATGTGCAGAGAACTTTTACTGCACGTATAAGCTTGGTCAGTTACCTTACCTTTGATTAATTTCGAGAGTCTCACTATCGGAGCCCGGCCATGGGTGAGGCTTGTCTGGTGCTAGCCTGGTCAACCAAGCTGTTGCTGCTGGAGGCCCACTTCCCCACATATCCATCACACCCTGGTTGATCTGGCACCTGATGAAGATACTTGTCCAGTTTTCTCTTGACTTCTACACTTGTTCCAGCGGTGTTTCTGATATCTTCTGGCAAGATGTTGAATAATCTGGAGCCACGAATGCTGATACAATGTTCCCTTACTGTGCCCACCGCACCCCTGCTCTTCACTGGGTTTATTTTGCACTTCCTCCCATATCTCTCACTCCAGTATGTTATGGCAGTGTGCAGATTTGGTATCGTAAAGGGTCTTAAAGTGAGATATCAGTAGGTTGAAGTACACACTTGTGATTGGTAAATATGTGTCAACGAGATGAAGTGGAGCCCGGTGCAAGCTGTTCACGTTCTGTAGTCTGCCGAGTGGAGCGGGACAGAGATGGCCTCTCGTGAGCACCGGTGATTCACACCTGAAGGCCTACAGGCACTACGAGGATCTCCGTAATGAGGGATGTACTATATGCTATGCTATTATATGGAATACAGTGTCAGCACTATGCTGACATTGGACCGCCTCTGTACTTTCCAGGTTATATAATCGTATCTCTCCTCTCTTTTCTCCTTGAGTATATGTTCAAGATATAAGGCGTTCCCAGTAATTTAAATACTTTATTGTCTATATTTGTGCCGTAAACGATCTCTATATTTGTTCCAGGTTTGATATTTCTCCTGCTTTGAACGGGGCCGTCAGCACTTCGCAATATTCCGAATGAGGGAGCACTAGCTATTTGAAGAGTGTCACCACTGGCATTATTTTTCTTGTTTTGGAAGTTCTCAATACCCACCCCGTCATCCTCCTGGCTGTCGTGATTTTTGTCTTATGTTCTTTCAAAGAAAGGTCAGCTGACATAATTATTCCCAAGTCTTAACGTGTTCCTTTCGTTCAATTTGGTGATCCTTTTGAATTTTGTATACAGTATTCTTTTTGAGTTCTTCATTTTTTCCATACCTAAGCAGCTGGAACTTATAACCATTGAACGTCATATTCTCCCCTGCCCACTGGAAAACCCTGCTTATATCCTGTATTACTGGGAATGTCTGAAGTCCCTTTACCTGTTCTCTCTGGAATGCAGGCGAGAAAGATACATAATCTAAACCTGGAAAATCCTTGAGGGACTGGTCACACATCTGCACACAAATCACTCCCTACGAAAGCAGACGATGCACCATCCCCCCCCCCCAATGAAAAGCAGTGGTGCCATTTACATTACTGGGAACGCCTCGAAATCCTAATTATGTACATACTGTAGTGAAGGATACTGTATACAGGAGGGTCTCGCTTTACGGCATTTTGCTAATACATCAGTTTTCATTGATACACATTCTTCATTTGTTCAAACTTCCTAAAATAAATATATTCACCACTCACTATAAGCTAAGGACGCAAATATTTTAAGGTAAGTACTGTGTGTACTGTATATGAATTTTTTTTAGGCCTAGCACTCCCTCAGGGTATCAGAAACTGCCGGAACAAACGTAGAAGTCTTCCAAGGGAAACTAGACGATTACCTCTGCCAGGGATGCCGGATCAACCGGGCTATGATGGAAATGTGAACCAGTGGGCCGCCAGTAGCAACAGAGTGATCAGATATGCCTGGCCCAGAGCCGGGCTGCGGGTGTAGGAAAACTTTTAGTAACTCTTCAAAGATGTATCGCGGTATACCTGATACCTGAATGATGGTTTTAGGGGTCAACGCCTCCGCGGCCCAGCCCCAGACCAGACCTCCTTGTGGATCAAAATCTGATCAACCAGGCTGCTACTATTTGAACCACATCCTGGCTGATAAGGAACTGACTTGAGGTACCCACCAAGTTTCCTCTTGAAGACTGCAGGGAGTTTGTTGGTAATTCTACTTACGGGGGTCTGCAGTACTCGGCTTGTGGTGGTGGTTCAGCAGTACTCGGCTTGTGGTGGTGGTTCAGCAGTACTCGGCTTGTGGTGGTTCAGCAGTACTCGGTTTGTGGTGGTGGTGGTTCAGCAGTACTCGGCTTGTGGTGGTGGTTCAACAGTACTCGGCTTATGGTGGTGGTTCAACAGTACTCGGCTTGTGGTGGTTCAGCAGTACTCAGTTTGTGGTGGTGGTGATTCAGCAGTACTCAGTTTGTGGTGGTGGTGATTCAGCAGTACTCGATTTGTGGTGGTGGTGATTCAGTAGTACTCGGCTTGTGGTGGTGGTTCAGTAGTACTCGACTTGTGGTGGTACTGGTGATTCAGAAGTTACTCAGCTAGTGGTGGTGAGGCAAGTGACTACAACTGGCTCACCACCTCCCTGCCTTGATACCATTGTTGTCAACGAGTCTACAATGGCACCTTTGCCTCCTTCATTCACGATATCTAATTTACCGTAACGGATTGCGGGTTTTCTGCACTTTTTTTTTTTTTGGCTGCTGCTGTCTTGCCTTTTGTAAAGCTAGGAGGGGCATAGTAATTGGTTAATCTTTGTTCTGGTGTATTGTGTCTGAATTATACTGTAAAGTTCCCACTTACCTTGATCAGTCACGGGGCCTCTGTCTTTTTTGTACAAATGTTTTGCTAGCATCAAGAAATTTCCTGTTGCTTTGTTTTCTAAAGCAAAACATTTCTTGGCGTTGCTGAGCATCAGCTGGGATGCTGAGTGTTGACGAGTGAGCACCTGGTGTACCCTGGGCCCCACACGCTGCACCTTGCATGTGAAGACCAGCTGCTGTACTCGCCCAGTTGTGATTGTGGTGGTTGATAGAGCTCTCTTCACCCCGCTTATTGGGTTGGCTTGACCGCTGTATACTGGATTCTGGCCTTCCGGTTGCTGTCATACCTTCTCTTAAAGCTCTGAATGGAGGAAGCCTCCACCGCATTCTCATTGGTACGTTACACTTTTTAATTACCTTGAAGTTGTGGCTTCCACCTTTGCCCCGTTTTCCAGGTCCTCTCTTCTCCAACAGCCTGTCTGTCTACCCTGTAGACAGGGTCGTTAATGTTAGTCCTGAGTCTCCGCGTATCGCGTTCCTGTCAGCTCTTGGAGGTTGCGCACTGTGGTCGCCTACTCAGTGATGAGTCTTGTATAGTGCTAATTTATTTTTTGCTTAGGTTCCAGAATGTGACTATAACATACTGGAGTGAGAGAGATGAGAGAATGTGTTAAATAAACAGTGAAAAGTAGATGCGCTGTGGGCAAAGTAAGAGAACACTGTATCAACATGTGGGGCCCCATATTATTAAACTATGTAAATGAGGACACAAAAGTAAAATAAATTATAAACTACGGAACTAGGCTGATTTCAAACTGTTTCATAAGGATACTAAATTAAATTAAATAGTACTAATAATGTGTGTAATATATACAAGTTCATTGAATATGTAATATTCCAAAAAAAATGAGGAAGAAAGAAAGGAAGGTTCAGTTAATGGTACTGGAAAGTTATGAGGGAGGTGTTGAAGTACGATAGTTAGCTCTCCAGCCTACCAACACAATCAGTGCAACCAAAATGTGATTGTGTTGGTGCTATGTATGAAGCTTCTCTCAAACAAATCTAACTGGATTGAAAAATGTATAGCACACATTGCTAGATAAAATTTTGTCGAACATACAATTTTTTTATTTGTACTTAAAATAACATGGCAGCTTTACCAGTCCTTTATAATTCAAGGAATCTGATTTAACTTAATGCTAGCTTACTTACCTTAGACCAGCCTAATTGTAGTTAGATTTATTTAACATCAGTTAAATATATTAATCTTATATTCAAGTGTTTTTTTTTTTTTGTAGTTATTGCAGTATTGAATTTATACTGCTTGTTTAGCTCAACAGTTGTTGCTGTATAAGCAACCAACAGTTAGAAAAGTATAAAAGTATTATCAGCAGGTACATAGTGGGAGTGTCCATGGGAGACTCACTGCTTGTGAACGAAGTATAGTGTGATAGGCTATAGTTACTATTTCAAGGTGGATGATGGCCACAAAAAACTGGTGTTCCATAACAAGAAACAGCCTTCAGTGCCTTGATGCTCTTGGCCCGTGGAATTGGAGCAAACCTTCCCTTCCTTGAATCAACCCGGATTACCTTTTATTTTTACAGGTATGCCAAAGGTAAATCAGATTACCTTGGATTTCCCCATGCGCATTAAAATATCAAGAGGCCACATATACGCATCGTGTCGCATTGCTCAGAGAACACATTATGTAGTTTACCCTGGAGACCATCTATGTATAGCTGGGCATATTTCTCAAAGTTTTAATAAGTAATTTTGTTTACCTCCACAGGAAGGAAGAAGAGAGCTATTAGTAAGAAGGTGCGTGACCCACCTGAGCCACCACTCCATGTAAACAACTCGACGTTAAACTCTCTTGAAAAGTTAAGGTTTGCAACAAAGATAAAAGATAACTGAGAAAATAAGTGTTCCAACTTGTGGAACTGCTGTTAATCTGTTGGACGAATATAGTTGACACGAGGTAGAAAGGTGTACTTAAGCAAGTTTCAGGGTGGTGTGTCAGTAGCCTAACAAGGCAGTGTAAAGCTACAAGCCAGGAGTGTCATGGATGCTTCCATCAACGACCTCAGTACCCACACAAACACCCACCCAGAGGAGGCCACTCATGGACACAACCTCAGTAATGGCGACGACGATGGGTGAGTGTGTGTGGGGTTGGGAAGAACAGGGAAGGTTGTGTTTTTATAGGGATTAAGTGTGTAATTTCTTCGAGTTTGCTAATGTTGAGCTTCATCTCTTGGGTCTTCTGGTGTGAGCTATCTATGTGGTATCTGCTTATAACGTTCTCAAATAATTTAACTTGCCATTCTTCATTCCGTTACCTTTATTTTATTACTCTAATATTTAGTGTTTCTTGGCCTATTTTTGACTCAGTTTGGTTTTCAGTTTTCAAGAGTACTTCCTCGTCCTCATTGCTCCCAGTATTTTTTTTTATGACGTGATTATGATTCCATTTTGTGGATGTGGAAGGAAATCAAAACATGGATGTGGTTCACTTTTTTCTTACAAAGGCATTTGATAAACGCTATTATGGAGTGTTTGCCAGGTTAATAGACATAACAGGAAAAGTAGAGAAATTTATGTTCAGATTTCTAATAAAAAGATAAAAAGAGAAGTGTTAAATAAAAGAGTGCAAAATCGGAAGTTCAGTAGCCTAAGGCACTATCTTCTGTTTCTCATCCTCATAACACATAAATACACACTAGTTACACATATTATTTGTCGACATGTCCAAAACTAGAATGAAATTCGCCTCGATAAAAGACGCCCTTCAAGAGGGATCCCTTGATGCTGATGAATGACTCTCGATCCAAGAAACTGGAACTATTCTCCCATCCTGGGATCTAATCTGAAATCCCCACACCCAGGTCTACGATCGGACAACGGGGGCGTTGACCCTCTGAACACACACTAGGTTGGTAGCTCCCCCAAATTACAAATGGGTCAAAGTATTTCAGTGGATAAGGAACAACAACAGTGTTCAGAAAGAATGAATACGTCAAAACAAGCACAAGATACAGAAGTTAGGCGGACCATCTAGTAGAACAAAATGAATCTGTAAAAGAAGACTTAGGGACTGCTAATGTTAGACGACCTATCGTTTAGAAAACACAAGACAAATGCAGCGGTCCACTTAAATTATTGGTTGGAGTCACGTAAATGTTAATACTATTTAATTCAATTGTCTTCTCATGTCTTAGTATTGTTCTGTACTTAAGACCTTTATAGGCAAGAGACATGAGAGCTGATAAATGCCTAAATATCATTTACTGCGCGCTTGTTTGGCATATACTCCTTTGCAACCGACAAGAGATAAAAACGTGCACTCACAATCCCCTTTTCTCTTTTTTTCTGTATTTAGCAGATGAAATCCCAGAGGCAGTTCGGATGAACAGTCTAACACTAACGAAATATTAAGATTCGGAGATAAATTGGGTTTAAACCAGGAAATAGTGGTACTGATTGAACTAGAAAATACCGCCCCTTGACCTTACATTCACCAACAATTGTGATCTGGTACGGAACGTTATATAACGGTGTCGAATACCTCAAACTGACCACCAAGTTATTGAAATTCAGATCGCATACACAATGGTCTTGAGCAGCAAAGCACAATTGTGAAGGGTATATTAGACACATTCAACTTAAAAATAAAGACAACTAGGATTTAATGAATCTTGATCTTACTGAAATATGCTTGGAAGATAATATAAGTAACGTGAATTTAAGCTGCTTAATGGCAATAGAAGTGGGCTACAGACTCGTACCATTAAATGCAGGGATGTCATAAGTACAATTGAGAACGCTTGTCAACATCTGTGGTCCACCAGTTGATACAAAAAAAAAAATATTGCCTACACAAAGATAGAGGTTATCAAGAGGAAACGAGAGCAGTTATTGCAATAATACTGGAACAATCAAGTCCTGATAGTTATGTAGGACTGCGAACTGAAGGTACCGATAGTCTGATTAAGTTTTTGCCTGGGATGCTTTTAATTATCTTAAAGGTGAAGTAAGATTACTCTCTTCTGTGCTGGTAAAAAGTGGTGGCAATATTTGCATTAAAGTAGGAAACGTCATGCATAATTGAGAGTGAAATAAGTTTGTTGGAGCTACCAGGTAGCTCTAGTTCCTGCCATGCCCAGCACTGCTTGCCTTCCTGTCTTTCCAGTACCCGCCAGGCCAAAGATTGGGCTTTCTTCCTGTCTTTCCAGTTCCCTCCACTCCGAAGACTGGGCTTGCTTCCTGCCCTTTCAGTTCCCTCCAGGCTGAAGACTGGGCTTGCTTCCTGCCCCTCCAGTTCCCTCCAGGCTGAAGACTGGGCTTGCTTCATGCTCTTCCAGTTGACTCTAGGCTGAAGATTGGGCTTGCTTCCTGTCGTTTCAGTTCCCTCCAGGCTGAAGACTGGGCTTGCATACTGCAACTATACTCCCTGGAACATAGGCAAGAAATATCATCCATCATAATTTATGTCTGGAATATTCCGGAGGGATTGATCCCAAATCTGTACATTGAAATCACTCCCTGTGAAAATAGAGACATAGCAGACTGTGTAAAATACCCTAAATGAAACAGGAGTGCAATAAGTAAGTAAAGGGACTAGAACGTCAACACAAGGAAAATCACTATTCAGCATCTTAACAGAAGATGGGACAAGTGTAAAGTCTTAAAAAGGAAACTGCACAAGTATCTTCATCATGTGCCAGATTAACCAGGTTATGGCTATGTGGGGCAGCGGGCCGCCAGCAACAACAGCCTACTTGATCAGGCAAGCACCAGACGAGCCTAACTCAAGGCTGGGCTCTGGGAGTAGAAAATCTCTCGGAACTCATCAGAGGTATATCGGAAGCCTGATTTGGGATTGGGTCACGGGGTCAGTTCCCGCAAAGCTGAAGACGCTGCGTCTTCCCGTGTCCCTAGTTCCTGCTCAGCTGAAGATAGGGTTTTTCCCTGGAGTATGTCTGGAGGGTGTTCAGGGGGTTAACGCCCCCGCGGCCCGTCAGTTCCAGCTAACCTGAAGACGAGGCTTGCTTCCATAGGACCTCCAAGCTTAAGACGGAGTTTTTTTTTTTTTCATAGTTTTCGCCAAACTGAAGACGGGGGTTCATTTTTCAGTTCCCGCCAACATGCGCCGGACTACAAGACAGCTTACGAGTGATAATGTCAAGGATGACAACAGTGTTATCACAGCCATAAGGAAAATGATAGGTTGGATAACTAATGCCTTGAAATCCAGTGTGATATTCTTCAAATCACTTGCTGTCTCTAGGCTGGACTATTGCTGTATATTACACCGGTTTTAAGGTTGGCGAAATTGTAGAGCTGGAGAATGTACAGAGAATCTTCACTGCTTGTATAAACTCAAACACCTAAATTACTGAGAGTACTTGAATTTCATTGATCTATTTCTCTTGGAAGGTAGGCAAGAAAATTCCTCGTAATTTACACCTGAAAAATTCTGGAGGAAATGATATCAAATTTGCTCACAGTAATTACTCCTTAAGAAATCAAGAGGGTTGGTAGACTGCAAAATACCTCTACTGAAGAGAGTGGTGCATTGGATACCTTTAGAGAGGCAAAGTGTAAAGGGGTTAAATTTTTCAACACCCTACCTTCGTCTATAAGGGGTCTTACCAGCTCCCTGGTTGTCTTCAAGAGAGAGAACCTAATAAGTTCCTCAAGTCGGTTCGTGATCAGCTAAGCTGTGGTGCACACGTTAAAGTCTGTGCGACTAGCACAGTTGATCAGGCCATCCACCAGGAGACCTTATCTGGGACTGGACTGCGACTCCTGAAACCGTCTTCAGGTAATATCTAGGTGCTCCCTAGTTCCCACCAAGCTAAAGACAGGTTTGCTTCCTGTCTTCCCAGTTCTTCCCCATGGTGGTGGTCAGTTTGCCTCATGTTTTCCCAGTTCCCGCCAAGCTGACGATGGGCTTGCTTCCCGTCTTGCCAGTTTCCACCAAGCTGAAGACAGTCTTGCCTCCTCCTGCCTTCCGTGGTCCACAAGCAACTTGATGAATGCGTCTCCGCCTTAAAGGTGTAAGCATAAAACAGGCTAAGTCGGTACACGCTTATTTACTGTGATAAACTTTGCAATGTTTGGATTTGGTGGTTAAACTATAGGGTCACGTGCATACAACGCTTACACAGATTATCCAACAAAGTCGAGGTAGTGGGAAGGCCATGAGGTTATGGTTAGTATTGCGTCCAATGTTGCGCTGAAACTTTGTGACAGTGAACGCTGATAAGTTAAAAGCAAAGTGATGCGAGTGCGCCACCTTCCCTCCCATCTCCCCTCCCCCTCAGGGCCGGTCGATACGGGGTCGTCGGCTCCTTGGCTCACTCCCTCATTATCAACTAATGACTCTGGAAGCAGGAAAAAATGGTGAAAAATTAATAAAATGAATGTTTTGCGTTGAATTAAATTAAAGAATACGCTTTCTGTAAAGGCTTTTGTCTTTGCAGGCGAGGGGAGGGCAAATTTGGTTTTCGGCCTAATGTTGGAGAAGAGTGTACTAGTTGTAGAAGGGGAGGGGAGGGCTAGTTGGGAGGAAGTGTTAATGTTGGGGATGAGGGGTAGCAACTGAAAAATAGAAACTACTGTAAATTCGTCAAAAGAACCGGGAAGGCGGAATTGATACACGATAATATACACATGGAAGATACTGGAGGGCTTAGTCCCTAATCTGCACACTATTGTGATATACTGGAGTGAGAGAGATGGGAGGAAGTGTAAAATAGACCCAGTGAAAAGCAGGGGAGGCACGGGCTCAGTACGGGAGCTCTGTACCAACATCCGTAGGCCTAGACTTTTCCGTCTACTGCTGGCAGATATTAGAAATATTGCTGGAACCAATGTGGAGGTTTTAAAGAGGAAGCTGGATAACCACCTCTGCGGTATATCCCATCAAACAGGCTGTGTGTGTCAGCGGGCCGCCAACAGCAACAGCCTAGGTGACCAGGCTGACACAGGGCCGGGCTGCGGGATTAGGAAAACTTGCAAAACAGGTCACAGGGAAATCATAGTTGTTTGTTGTGGCCCACTAGAAGATCTGATTAGTATCTTAAAGATTTGACGTGCTCTCAATAGATGCCACTCTGCCAGATCTAGTATCACTTGCAGAGGAGGATACAAT